ACATATAATTGAGAATATGCAGTGTTTTTTCTTTTTGAGTCTTGCTCATTATACCTAGCATAACATCCTTCAGGTTAATCCACATTGTTGTAAATGGCAGGTGCTCCTTTTTTAAGGCTGAATGTGTATGTGTGTGTATTCCCACATAAATTGACCCTTTTATTCCATAATGGCCTTCTCTGTCTCCTGTGACAGAGGTTTTTTTTTTATTTTAAAGATTTTATTTATTTATTTTTAGTAATAGGGAAGGGAGAAAGAGTAGGAGAGAAACATTGATGTGTGAGGGATAATAAATTAGTTGCTTTTCACATGTGCACCCAACCAGGGACCAGGCCTGCAACCCAGGCAACTACCCTGACTAGGAATCCCTGCTTCTGGTACCAGATAACCAAGAGGGAATGGGGAGAGGCAGAAACAAGTGCAATAGAAATCAAAATGGTACAAGGGGGAGGTGCTGGACTGGAGAAGTGTATTAGTCTTGCCTGGGGAAAGGATTAATTAGAAGGTGGATCCATCATTAGAAAGTTTGGGAATTGATTGGTTATTTTGAGAAAGCACCTCCTTTGTTCCGCACCCAAGCTAAAATAATTCCAGGGGAACAAAAAAGTTTCCTCTCTCTTGACCAGGCAACCTGCACTGGCCCCACGTGTTTGCAGGTCCCCTCTCCTATCAGCCACAGAACCCACGGCCATGCCACTCCACACGCAGGCTCCAGGAGGGTGCCTGAAGTGGACTACACAAGAAACACAAGCTAGGCTAGCTGGATACTAGGCTGAACTGTACTATGATATAAACACTGGACAGTGGCCTTCATCCTGGCCCCACTGAGGAAAAGGCTGGATATTTTTCCATGGTGAGATAGGCAGCAATGGGACATCAGGAGGGGAAACTCCTTAACTGTACATCATCAATAACCCATTCCACACAGCCACATCTTCCTGTGCAGGTCTCAGGAAATTCTTTTCTTTAGGTACCACAAAAGCCCCATTTCCATGGGTACCTAAAAGTATTCTCTGATTTTTAATTTGGTTTTGATTTACAACATAATAGTAATACATGTCTTGTGGGAGATGTGATAGTTACTCTTATGTGTCAAATTGTCTAGGCTATAATATCCAATTATTGAGTCAAACCCTCGAGAAGGTATTGCTGTGAAGGTATTTTGTAGATGTAGTTAACATCTGCAATTAGAAGACTTTAAATAAAACTTTCCCTGACAATGTGGTGGACCTCATCAAATCAGTTTTAATTAAACTGTCCTAACAAAACTAGTTTAAAAGCAAAAGCAATTGTGACTCAAAACTGCAACAACATCTAATTCTGCCTGACTTTCCAACCTGCCAGCTTTCCCCATGAATTTCTGACTTGCTAGCACATACCATTGCGTAAGGCAATCCTTTAAACTGAATCTCATTACCTGTATGTCCTATTGGTTCCATTTCTCCTGAGAACCCTGACTGATATGGTAGGTACCAATCATTATCACATTTCTCACAGCTCAATAGGAAACTAAAGAAGATATTATCATTAATATCTTCTTTAGTTTCCTATTATAAGCTTATTAAACTATACTCAAAATATATGGTACACAAAATATTCAATTAAACAGGTGTGGATTTCTTGGTATAAAGCAACGCATTGTGAGATTAAATCACAATTCCTCTCTTTAATTTTGAAAAGATCTATATGTAACAATGGAGTAGAACCAATTAGTGAGAGCTGTGATAGAGGTACACTTAGAATGACATCATAGGCCAGAAGTAGTTATTCTTTATGACTTGAAGTACACTCTATTTGGGAGGATGTGGAGAGAAATGAGGTTGGATGGGTGGGTGGCAGGGAGATACTGAAAATTCTTGAGTACCAAACTGAAGTGTTTGAACTCAAATTTGTGACAGGCATCAGTGATGTTGGGTAGGGTATTTTTTACATTATTGGAAAGGCTGTTCTCTGGACAGCTCTATGAAATAAGGAGTGCAAAGGTAGAAAATTAGAGATGGGGGTTTGAAAGCCTCAGAATAGCACATAAAACCTTAAAGGTTCACAGACTTCATGCCTTTGTTCTTCACTATTTCACACTATCTCATTAATGTTATCTCCAAAACCAATAGTGTTATGACATCGGTTTTATTTCTGAAAATAAGCATGTTATTAAAGAAAAAGTAAGCATCATCATAATGCTTATAGAAAACTATTATAAAAAACTAAGCTTTACCAATAAAGAAAACATACTTTTTTAAAGGGAAAAAATCAGGCAAATAAGAAAGTAAGAAAATGTATTTGCTTTTGACTTTACAAAAAATAATTTACAATGACTAATATTTTCACACACATAGACTGTATTAGATACTCGTTGAGTACCTACCTCCATAGGATAGGCATGGTGAAGTACTCTTGAAATTCATTTAAATGTGAGAAAATGCACGAAGAATTTTACATACTGTAACTATGGCATTTCTCTTGATGTAGAAACAAATAGTAACCTTTATTTTAGTTGATAAATTTTGGTAGGTAATAATTTTGGACCACAGAGAAAATATCTGTCTTAATAAAACTTAAAAATAAAAATTAAACAAAACTCTCAAAGATAAAAGGAAAGAGAAAGATATTTCTTATAGAGAGTCATAACAAGAAATAGATACAAGAAACTTCAGATTGTATTGGCAGGGAACAGATGATTCCCCAAAACCCATCATTTACTGTGTTTCCTATCTTCTGGCATGAACAAATAATAATAAAAAATTATTAGATCATGGGTTATTTCCAAAGAACCTGAAAGTGTTAGGGGGCAATGACCTAACACTTCGGAATTTAAAAAATGCTAGATCAAACATAAAAAATGCTAACAGAACAGTGTGGAGCCTGTATTTTAAATGGCATATAGAAGTGCACCTAGAAATTTTATATCCAAAAGTTTACCATTTATACTAGATATACAAGGACAAAAATACAAAATAAAGTGGTAAGCACTGTCGAGAACATCTGTAATAACTAGCAGGAGTGAACAAAAAGTAAGTCCTATCATTTTCTCTTATCTTTCAATATAAAACAGTGATCTGTATGATAGTATGCAACAGAAAGAGTGAGAATCAACTATAATTTATGTGCATTAATATTATTTTGATTCTCCTTTATTTGAAAGCTATAAAAAACACTAGGAAAATAGAGTACAGATAGCACTACTTATACAGGCTAATGCAATAAGCTAGGATGTCCTTTTCAAATTACAGGTAATGACCCATTAGTGAATTTTGAAATCAATTTTGTGGGTCAAGACCCACATTACAAAAAAATTTAATAGAAAAGAATAAGATACTATGAGACATGAATAAGTATTATTTCTTAATCTTTTTAAAAATGTTGTATATACCCAGAGCTGAGATGTAAAATTTATAACAGTACAGATTGTGGATAAAAATGTTCGAAAACCCTGAGGTAAAGGGTCACACTCAGAGAATGGTCATCAATACATCATTGTCAGACTGAGGTGGGGTCCCACTGCAGCCCTGCTGAAGTCCACTGGGGTCAGCCCTGGGTGTGGAGTTATTTTAGTGTCTTGTCTATGCCCCAGATAATGAAAACTAAAACACATTTAAGTTGCTCCTGGTGTCCAATAGGGAAATGGTAAAAGTACTGGAACCTTCATAGAACTGATGTTTCACATTGCGTTGCACATTAATAAACCGATCTGAATGCAGTCATTTTTCAAGTGCTGGTTTCATATTAGTAAGGATACAAAAGCTATCCTTTTTTTTTTTTAATTTTCACCTGAGGACATTTTTCCATTGCTTTTAGAGAGAAAGGAAGGGAGAGAAAAGGAGAGAGAGAAACATAAATGCGAGAGAGAAGCATCAATGGGTTGCCTCCGGCACACACTTAGACTGGGATTATATGTGCCCAAACTGGGGATCACATGCCTGGACCAGGAATGGAACACTGCAACCTAGGTATGTGCCCTGACAAGGAACAGAACTTGCAAACCATCAGTTATGCAACCAGCAACCTTTCGGTTACCATATGATTCTCCAACCAACTGAGCCACATCAGCCAGGGCAAGAGATAGGAGTATACCTTTTATATTACCTAGACATTAGGCATGTTTTCTGAAGATTTACAAGTGGATCAAGCCAAACTTGTAAGTATTTATTTTTTCTTTTCTTTTTTTAGATTTTATTTATTTATTTTTAGAAAAGGGAAGTGAAGGAGGAAGGGGGAGAGAAACATGAATGTGTGGTTGCCTCTCATGTGCCCCATACTAGGGTCCTGGCCCACAATGCAGGCATGTGCCCTAGACCAGGGATTGACCCAGCGACCATTTGGTTTGCAGGCTGACACTCAATCCACTGAGCCACACCAGCCAGGGCCAAACTTATAAGTATTTTAAAAATTATGTCTAATTTATTTATGCACTAATGAAAAAATGATAAACAAATATAAATAGATTTTTACATTAAAATTTTTCTAGAACATGTACTTGGAATCATAAGCAATTATATTCTGATCTTAAAATTATGCATTATATACAGGTAGAGCTCTGGGGATTTAGAACATTAACTGTTATATTAATTTCAGAGAGGTGGAAATAATGTGCTCTACATATCACTGAAAGGAACAGTCATCTTCATGGAATTCAGTTCTTATTACTTCTCTGCTACTATGGAATATAACACTAGATCTGAATAATGTACATGGCTCAGATCATGACTGATTTTGTTATTGCTCTCATGCATGCCTTTTCAAAAAAAAGAAATTTTCTTTGGTTAAACTAATGCAGGTCCCAACATAATCCAGTGTATGTTTCTTCACTTGAGATTTCAATGTAAAGTTTTTAGCAAAATGTCATATCAGCTCATAGGAGACTTTCTACTTTATGACAAAATTTCTCACTTTCTTGGCAGTAAAAAGGAGAGACTTTCATCTGCGAGGTCATTTTAACAGCAATGTTATGATTTCACTGTGGCCCAGTACACTAAAAGAAACACCTTGTGGACTTCCCTTACCTGGCTACATGATTGATTACGGGAGCAAAGTTTGTTGGCCCGTACAGCTGTACCGACTTCAGACTCCTATAGTAAGCCTCCATGACTCCCTCAATGCCATCGCAGTAGGGGTTTTGAGGGTTCCCATTCTGTAGAACATTACAGGCAAAAAACAGTAAAAAATTAACAGTGTCTGTAAAGGTCAATTGAAAAGAGAATAATAAACACTGATATTCATAAAGAATTTTCTGGAATACTCATTTATATAGTTATAACAGCAAAAATTAAGTGGTCAACATTAGATTGCAATGTATTATATAGAGTGTGATATGATACTAGAATGTACACAATAATTAAAAATAGATACGTTTCAAAATAATGGCAGGAGATGATTCTAAATAATCTTAAGAACTGAATATCACATTCTGTAATTAATAATCTCTTCATTTTACACAGGTCTTATACATGTAGGCATGAACATACAAAAATTCTGAAAAGAAGTAAATAAAATATTGGGTAGTTAACGCTGAGTGATTATATAATTGGGGACTTTGATTTCAATCTTTAAACTATAGTATATTTTTCGACTTTCTGCAGTAACATATTAAAATCAGAAAATAATAAATGTTGTCTATTCAGTTTCTCCTTATGGAAAGAAAATTGTAAACCATCTGCCATGCACACATCTTCAGGACACACCTGACAATGCCAGCTGGAGAAGGGGTCAGAGGGAATGCAATTTGGTGTCAGAAATATCAAGACAAAGGAAAAGGAAAAGAATCAAAGAAACATATCCACACCATTCAAGGGAAATGGAGCTTGCCACCAAGGACTTGTTCTGCAAGACAGCACCTAGAGGGGCAACTTTAAACCTGGAGACCAGCTCTTGCTTTTTCATACTTTCAATACTCTATTTTATTAGGTTTAATTTTCCTGGTCCAGATCCCACAGGTAACACAAATAAGGCAGTGTATTACTTATCTATTTCTATGCAGCAAATTATCCCAAAAGTTACAGGGTTAAAATAATAAACATTTATTATTTCACACATTTTGGGGGTGTCAGGAATCCAGGAGCAGCTTAGCCAGGTGGTTCTCGCTAAGAATATCTCATGGGTTCACAGTCAAGATGCAGACCTGGGCATCGGAAAGCTTGCCCAGAGCTGGAGGATCTGCTTCCAGGAAGTCTCCCTTATACTTCCATTGGTGGGAAGCCAACAAGAACTCTCCGTAGGGCTGCTTGAGTGTTCTCACAACATGGCAGCTAACTTCCTCAGAATGAACAACCCAACAGAAAGAGCAAGGAGGAAGTCCCAGTGCCTTCATAAGCTAGTCTCATAAGTTGCATACCGTTTACTTCTATTTTAATCTATTGGTTAGAAATGAGTCACTAAGTACAGGGAACACTCAAAGGGAGGGGAACTAAGCTCCACCTCTGGAAGGTGAGAGGAGACATAAATGAAATTTGTGAATACATTTTAAAACACTAAGGGCAGTAACTATATTTAACATTGCATGAATGTTTTTACCTGAACAGGTAAAAGTGACTGTAAATTTATAACTGAGTTGTTGACTTCTATATACCAAGCTTTATATTAAAATATTTACATACATTATATAGTTTTTAATAACAACTTTAAAAATGTAGATAAAATCATGTCATTATTTCCACTTTACACATGAAGAAACTAAGGCACTGAGAGTTTAAATAATGTGTCCCGAAGTCACACAACGCAGGTGAAAAGAGCCAGTATCTAAACACACACAGTCTGAGCCCAGAACCCGGTCTCTTCACCACCACTCTTCCACCACGTTACGAAGTCCTGGGCACTGTGAAGACTGGGGATCTGCAGAAACTAAACCAGATGTTACCGACCACTTCAGTTTTGCCATTTGTGAGAGGAGTGATACCCACTTTTTCTCGTTTATTTTCTTTTTTTTCTTCAAACTTTTTATGAACAAAACCTCATGTAAATGTTTAAAAACATAAAAATAATAAAAGACCTCTTTATATTATAAAATTGGTTATGGTAGTTGATTGATATTTAGCACAAAGCAGTTCATGGTGGTTTTGATGTTAATCTGAGCTGACCTATTTAACCTTCCTTTAAGTAAAATTTTACAGTGTTCTTTTCCCTTGATGAGGTACAAAGCTAATTAAAATTAAAATTAATTATTCATTTTGGGCAAATGTGTTATATAGCTTTCTTGAGGGAACAATTACAAACCAGGGTAATTCTGGGCTTCTTTTTGATAGTCTTTTTAGCATTTGAATGGCAGTTTATATTCCCTCTATTCCTCTGAAATTGAAATTACAAGGTCGCCATTTTTCTCATCATTTCATTTTTCTTAGTGGAAAGATAATCACGGGATGTTCTCTTCATCATTATGGAATATCTGAAGCACTAATTTCTGTATTAGTTCTAGTTACATAATAAATTGCTCTAAGATTTCCTCATATGCCATGGATGATAAAAATACTTTATTACATAAAATTATACATTTTCTTAAATCTATGCTTTGCATTACATCAGAATTATTTTAAATAATTTACAAACATTAAAATGAGATTTTCCTCTTAATGACAACACTGTAATGGGTTATAAAGATATTTTTAAGTCTTTTTAAAGAATTCATTTCATAAAATAATTATCTTGGGAATTAGTTTTTGCTTGTTAAAACAAATTAAAATAAGCTTACATGTGGATCTAGCCCCCTGCAAAAAAAACACAGGATGTTTTTGAAAATAAGAGCATTCAATTTTGTTCTACATGAATGAAGACAGCAATGGATGCTCTATTGCATACTTCCTTTTTAATTAACAACCTTTTCCATTTATAAAATCACACATGTCAATCTGTAGAACACATAAATACATAGAATGGAATTCAAAATGAGCAATAATTCTACTGTGGAGACTGAAGTGGGGAGGGTGTCCAGCTTTCACCCATTTCCCCTCCATTTGACCCCCTAAGGGATTGTAACTGGGGCATTAAGAGTTAGCTCTAGACAAGAAGCCTACAATCTCCTTTGTGACCTACAGCCTACAACACTTCTGAGCGGGCCTAACACACTGACAAAATGCTCTCAGGGGCTGTTGCTTTACCCTTTGAAATGTTAACTGTTGCTGCCCAGACATTGCTTACTACAGCAAACGCTGAGAGAATTCTCCCTTTTATTCAATTTTTAAAAAGCTATCAAGCTGTTGTATTATGCATACAGTGGCAAAGACACTTAGTTGCTAAACTCTAATGTCTAGTTCAAAGAAAAAGGATACAAATAGATAAGAAACTTTATAGATTCCTATAAATGCCAAAGTAAGTGAAAAGCACGTAAATATTTTTCAACATTTAGTAAGAGAAAGTGTTTAGTAAGAGAAAGGACAGGTGTAGCACTTCTCTACTGATCAATGCAAAACCTTCTTTTGAGTGTCACTGGCCAGATGCCTATTAGAAATAGGTCCTCTGAAGCCCTGCACTACTGTATTTTAGTTACAACCCCACAAGGATCATCAAGAGTCATGAAGACATGAGAGCAATGACTCATCAATTTCACAATCAAAACTGCTTAACATGATAATACTAGGACACTTTTCCTTTCTTTTCCTATTCCTTTTTCTTATCCGATTACGTCCATTCTTATACATATTTCACATGAAAAGCTTGGTTTCCCTGAGATCCTTTTGATTCAGCAAAGCTCAATTTGAGCATTTGAGCTAACATGAAACTCACCAAGTAGGAGTATTTAATTTTTTAAAAACCCTCCCTTGCTACCTGAAAGATTATTTGAACCTGATGAGGATAAAGAGATTAATGGTTGTGAATACACATCACATTTCTTACCATGGAAACCTGAGAGTTTGTGAACATGAGGTGGTATATTAAATGTCAGACATGTGACTGAATTGTTTGTATTTGCTATTCTTGGCACTTACAGAACATATACTGCAGTTATATACGATGAGGTTAATATCAAGTACTTTAGCACAAATAAAGTAAAATACTACCTTTTTGGAGATTTATTTAACCCTTGTCTGGCTTACTTTTCTAAGAAAACAAGTGTTTTGAAAAAATTAAAGTGGAATAACAAGTAATATTAGTGCTGAACAATCATCATCATCATCATCATCATCATCATCATCATCATTTTTGTCATCCATTTGGGAGACTATTTTTCATATATTTAAAGGGGTATGACTCTATCCTATAAGTTTGGGTTAAAAGAACAGTTTAAGATGTGAATAAGAAGGTCTTCTTTAGAAGGAATGTTTGCACAAGTTTGGTTACAAAGAATACATATAGAGGTAGACAAAGCAGAAAAGGAGAGGATAAGGGAGAGAGAAGAGAAAAAAATAATACACAAGGGTGACAGAAAACTCAAAGAAGGAAAATTAATAACCCTCATTTAGTTTAACATAATTATTCTTTTTCTTAGGCTTAAAATAGCTTGTGACCTTTTCCCTGAGGCATTTAAGACTTAGGATCACATGAGTGATTTTCATGGTTTCATAAGTTTCTGTGAAGTATTAATGCCCCCAGAAACAAAATCCCAACAGATATTCATTTTTACATGACATTGGGAGTATGGCGAGTGGACTATTTCATGGGGTTAAGAATCAGACCCTACAGCTGCCTTTTCTGAAATTGTGGGTGATGGAATAGGGAGGCAAAATAAGTACAGCAATAAAAATATTAAAATTCTATTCTTAAAGCATATATTTAAGAGAAGTAAATATCATTTAAAAGCTTCTGAAAATGTGTATATGTATATACAACACATATATGTGTATATATGTACAGGTATCACCATTGTGTATATGTATGTAGTTATATCTACATGTATATATTATATATGTGCTTTATTAATACCATTATATATGTGTATATGCATGTATATATGTACCTATATATACATATATATATATATATAATGGCATTAATAAAGCACATTTCTAAGCAGTAGTGTTATAGGTATTTTATAAAATGTGGTTAAGTAGTGGTCAAGAGAACAAATTCTAAAATAAGACTGATATGGGTTCAAGTCCTGTCCATTGGAACCCTGGTTAAAACTGAGCCTCTGACCTGAGTTTCCTAACTCTTGGGTGCAGTCTTCTTCCGTATTTAATATAAGGGCTTTTGTTAGAGCAGCATAATGTGACAACTATGATATACCTACCACATAGAAATTTTATGAAGATTAAATAAGGAAATGAGTATACAGTATTTAGACTGATAGTAATTCCTTGGTAAAAATAGTATTATTGTTCATTTTGAAAAGTATTTATCAGTGTTCACTTTTGTCTATTTTGCTTGCAGTCTTAAACAATTCCTACAATAATCATGCATTGTTTCTGTAGTAAAAATAAAAAAATAAACAAAAACCTACAAAAATGTGGGTGACGGGAGAGTTTACCTGCTACAACATGCAGGGTCGGCTGGGGAGTACCTCTGTTAGGAAAACCTAATTTTTTCCTAAAATAATAGCTCACCATCCTGTACTGATTTCCCCATTATTGATGAGAAAGTACAGGTGAGAGTAAGGCTGGCTGGGCCTATCGGTGTTACCTGGGTGGGGTTTATTTTGAAGGTAGACTGCAACGCATTGCTTATCTGCAATCACACAATATGAAAGCGGATCTATATAAATTAAACATTAGTGAGAGACATAGTTTTATTCCAATCATATCTTCTACAGTATATTTAAATCTTAATTAATTATAGCCATCAGTGCTGCTTCACATTTGAAAAAATTAACTCTAGCTATAATTAGTCCTTTACATTTGAAATGCCATTTTAGAAGAGGCTGTTTATCAATAGAAGATTTATAAATCAGATGCATTTCAGGTATATTAAAAATATCCACACATTCTTTGGTCTTCCTCCCTTTGAGAGACAAAAGTTACTTCTGCTACCTTGTTACTGGGCTGGCCTTAGTGACTTGCTTGACCAAGAGAATGTGGAAGAAAGAACGTTCTGGGACTTCCAGGGCTGGTAAAGAGCTGTGCAACCTCCACCCCAGCCTTCTAGAATATTCACTCCAAGGAAGCCAGCTGTCATGTTAGAAATCTGACTACTGTGAGGCTGCCACACCGTGATGAAGCCCATGACAACTGCATGGAGAGGTTGTATGCAGAAAGAGGGGAAGATATCCAGGCAACCCAGCTCTCTCAGTCATCCCAGCTCAGGCATCAGACATGAGCAAAGAAGCCAGCTTAGGGAGCATGTTATCCCCAGAAGACATGACAGGGAGAAGAACAGAAGAATCCAACTGACAGCCAGAATCAAGAATATGGCTCCACTCAAACAATTCCAGCCATATCTAGCCATTCAAGCTATCCCAGGAAGGCCCCAGACACTGCAAAATAAATACATAAATAAAGCATCTCCCATTGTATTCTCCTTGAATTTCTGACTCCCAAATCACACATAACAGAAATGTTGGTTTACACCTCAAATTCCTAGGGAGTTTCATTATGCAGTCATAGGTAATCATAATTGACCCCCCTACTTATAAATCAGATGCACTGTAGGTAGATTTATTGCTACTCTACTTAATTGTCATTTTTTTCTATTAATACAATGCTCCTAAATCAATCATTTAGCAAAATTAACCCGAGTCTACAGTCACAAACAGCTGCTACATGATTAACTAAAGCAGAAGTAGTGAACCAATATTTAAAAATCCAGCATAAAATTTTCTTTCAAATATCCAGTCCTCATGATGAATCCTTACCAAAGCAAACTCATGAGATATCCTTCCATCTGGAGGCAGTTTTGCACCAAAACCTAGAGCTGGGAACATTTTATCACTGTCATAATCTTGAACGATTTCTCCCACCGCTTTCAGAGCCATGCCATAGGCGTTCAGCTGGTAAGGGTTCATGTAGTGCAGAGAGGTGGGCTGGGCGGGGTTGCCTGACAACAGAAAAACATTTCAGACGTGAGTCACACGGCTAATGATGCAATTTGTTTGGACAACATTTTCCTTGATATCCACGTCTTGATATTTATTTCTGTTCCTTGATATGTAAATATTATATTTTTCTGCCTACATTCATAATGTGTCAAATAGTTTTTTTAGGGGATGGATATTAACATGGAACTATGTGTTACATTTGATCAGACCTGTAGAAAATTTCCCAATGATCAATCAAGTGTATGCATTTTTTTCCCAAAATTATGCCTCATCGTCAACTGCACAGACTATTCTTGAAATTCAGTTCCAGAGAAGTATAAAATTACTTTTATTAATTTCATTTTATTGTAGTATCTATTTTTTAAAAATTATGTGCCTCTAGCTTGAATTCTTCTGCCTAAATCAGAGAATACAACTGAGTTAACTGACTTGAATAATTATGAGGTCTTCTTAAAGTGGTATTACAAAAACAAATTAAGTATTTGAGAAGTATCCTAAATTATCATTTTAAAAAGGAGAGCATAGTGATTTTCAAATTCAAGCTAATAAAATATCTAGATCTGAAAAATTATTCAGGGTTTCTAACTAGACTTTAAGGCAGGAGGCAGAAAGCCCAAAGCTGAGTCTTGCCATTTGAAGGACAATACCTAGAATGTGTCTGCAATAAATTCTACCACATTGTTTACTGGAAGGACAAGAGGAGATTGTGTGTGTATGGAAGTGACTGAAAACAATTAAGTGCCATAGAAACGTAAGGTTTAACGACTACTGTTATTGATGTCTGGATCATCCACCAGAGTCTGAATTTTCAGTATCTTATGCTATGCAGGACGTTACATTTGAATACAGATGAATTTGAGAGAAAGTAATGTATGCGCTGCCACTTAAACACATTGAGATTCACATTGATTTGCCCTAATTACCAGCACTAGGCAGCCTGAAAATCCATTAAGTGTCTTAAGTAAAAACGGAAAGTTAAATGGAATTCCTAATAGCACACATAGCTCAATTCTACTTTAAAATGTTGCCTGAAGAAGGGAAGTTTCAGGGCATAGTGTTTTTTCTGACAAGGAAAACAAATAATAGCAAGTACTTGAAATCCAGATAGAAACAAAATAAAGGAGAGATCTTCCCTTGGTTTACAGTACATGTAATTATACCAAGAACACTTTTGGTTTAAAAATAATTTATTGTGTAAAGGCATTTATATTTCCAAAGAGCTACAAACATTCGAGGGCTGGTTTCACATGACAAAATGTCTAAACAAGTGTCTGCTGGCCAAGATGGTCTCGATGTTCCCCACCTCCCCACCATGCTTTACCAAATTTTAGACAGGATTCTCCTGACTGTGGGCCCTGAGCTCCCTTTTCTTAGAGCATTTACTTTAGATAACCCACAATGGTAAAATTCTCCACTGTTTGAGATCTAAATCTTCTACAATCCAGGAATGTCTTTCTCAAAGACCTGGGAGCCAGCCCTTTGAAGTCATCACAGGATACCATGCCTATCAGCTACAGTCTCTGTGGGAAGGTAGGAACCTAACCTCTATAAGTGTTACTTAGCAAATATAGATGGTGGGATCACACAGACCAAACTCCCCTCCAATGTCCCCAGTATTTATCTAATAGTTCATCAAGGTGCTTAAATTATCTCCCCTCTTTCGTTTTGGAGGTATTGAGTCAGTATCTCTCCTCTACTGCAATAGCTTTGATCTCTATTGCAATAGTTATGAAAAAAAGTCTTCTTAACCAGTTTAATTTGTCTGGTAAAAATTTCCTATGACACTTTCTTTTAAAGGAGGTATTTTGTCAGTGAGTTGAAAGACCACTAGGGCCACAGATAAGCAATACCATTACTTTACTAAGTGTTTATTTAACCGTAACTCTTAAACATAAGCAGAGTTACTACCCAGAGATTGCAATATGGCTACTAATTCAATTTTGCTAAGGAAACCATAACTTAAAATAAAGATACCACTAATATCCCAGCATGTCCGAACATCTTAGCCTATCATGCACGACAGGGCCTGATCCTACCCATTCAAAGATGTTCCCTAACTCTTTCTAGCAACTCCATGCAGATCAGTCTCTTCACTGGACCACTAATGATACCTTCTTCCCACCACTACCTCTTGGTTACCAGCCTGTGTGGAAACTCACTCTCTTCATCTCCAGCTTATGTCTCACATGCACCAGAGAGCCTTCCTTGTTTCTTCCAGGCCTTACTGTCCTCTCCTACTTTTATGGCTCTAGTGTTCCGTACCACAAAACATGGCAATTTGAGTTGGGCAATTTGAACTTGCCAAAATGAGTGTCAATTTCTGGAATCTGGGACCACGTTTGTAGCACTTCTGTTTCTGCAACAATGCATATGGAGAATGAACTTGTAGTGGGTTGGTAACATTAGAGCTCAATTAATGACAACAGTTATAATTGTATGAAATTTAAAATGTACTGAATACCTTACTTCATATCTCATTTTTCAACAGCCCACTTACGGGTACTTTTATTATACCCACTTTTAAGATTATGTCATTTTCAGATTAAATCACACAACAATACTGGTAAAACTAGAATATGAATCTAAGCATTCAGATTCCATAGTCTTTACTCTTAGCTATAACTCTTACTTAAGGATCTTGGAATATTTTAGACTCTGAATATAAGTGAACTTATATTTGATTTTGTTTTAGAGGTATACCATACCTTTATTTTTAAAAATACCACTTGAATAGACTCTTTTTAAAAGAGCTTTACTGAGACATCATTCATATAACTTACAATTCACCCATTTAAACTATGCAATTCAATGATTTTAAGTATATTCACAGACATGTAAAATCATCACTCCAATCAATTTTGGAGCATTTTCATCACCTCAAGAAGAAACCCTGTACCTATTCACTATTATTTCCTAATCATTCTATCTCACCCAGCCCTAAACAATAACTAAACCACTTTCTGCCTCTATTAATTTATGAATTCTTGACATCTCATATTAGTAGACTTACATATTATATGGTCTTTTATAACTAGCTTCTTTCACTGGATGGTGATTTCAAGGTTTATCTAGGTTGTAGCATGTTTCATCACTTCATATTTCATTCATGTTTGTTGCTGAATAGTATTTGTATGAATGTACCACATTTTCTATCCATTTATAAGCTGATGGACATTTGGGTTGTTTCCATGTTTTGGCTACTATGGTGCTAAAGATATTTGTGTACAAGTTTTTGCATGGAGGTTTGATTTATATCTCTCCTGTATCCAGAAGTGAAATTACTGGATCATGTGGTAAATACATCTTGAGAAACTGTCAACATGTTTTCTAAAGTGGCTGTACCATTTTACATTCTCACCAGGAGAGTATGAAGAGCCCAGTATCGCCACACATCCTCACCATGATTGGTCTCCTGATTTTTAGATTATAACCATCTAGTGGGTGTGAAACAGTATTTCATTATGGTTTTGATTTGCATTTCCTGATGTCTACGTATGCCAAGTGACTTTAAATGTGCTTACTGGTCATATTTATACCTTTTTTTTGAGAAATGTCTATTCAATTTTTAAAATGCGGTTGCCTTTTTACTGAGTTATAATTGTTTTTTATACATTCTGGATACAAGTCTCCTATGAGATATATGCTTTGCTAATTTTTTCAGTCTGGGGTTTGTCTTTCACTTTGTTAATAGAGTTCTGTGAAGCATAAAACATTTTAAATCTGATGTTCAATTTTTATTTCTATTTTAAATTTTTTTTATTTCTTTTGTTACTCATGTTGTTAGTGTCACATGTAAGAATCATTAGCCAAATCCAAGATCATAAAAATGTATCCCTATATTTTCTTCTAGTAGTTTTATAATTTTAGTCCTACCATGGAGGTCTTTGATTTAATTTGCATGAATTTCATATATTATGTGAGGTAAGAGTCCAACTTCATTCTTTTGCATATGGCTATGCAGTTGTCCCAAAAATAATTTGCTGAAAAGACTATATTTCTTCACTCAATTGTCTTGGCACCCTCTCAAAATCAGTTAATCTTAGACACATGGGTTTAGTTCTGGAATTTCAATTCTATTTCATTGATCTATAATGTGTCTTTATGCCAACACCAACTGTCTTGATTCCTGTTGCTCTACAGTAAGTTTCAAAAATGAGAATATGTGAATCTTCCTGCTTTCTTCTCTTTTCTCCAAGTCTGCTTTTGTTTTGAATCCATTGAAATTCTATGTGCATTTTTGGGTCAGTTACCCATTTCTTCAATTTTTGATAGAGACTGCATTGAATTTGTCAACTGATTTGGGAAATATTACCAATTTAACAACATTACATTTTCAAATCAATACACATGGCATCCTCTTATTTAGATCTTTAATCTTTCAACAGTGTTTTTTTCAGAATAGTTTTTAGAGTATAAGTTTTATACTCACTTTGTTAAATTTGTTCCTAATTAATTGGATTCCTTTGATATTATTATAAATAGAATTGCTTTCATAATTTCATTTTCAGATTTGTGGATAAAATTTATATATGGATATTTTCTCCTTCAATCTTACTGAATTCATTTATTAGTTCTAATGAATTTTTAGTGGATTAATTAGGATTTTCTATATATAAAACATGCCATCAGTAAATAAAAATAGTTTAGCTTCTTTCTTTCCAATCTTTTCATATATTATTGCTCTGGATACAACCTCCAGTCCAATGCTGAACAGACTTTCTTATCCCATTCCTTGTGTTCAGGGGAAAGCACCTAGCTTTTCACCGCAGGTATAATGTTAACTGTGGGTTTTTCATATATTCCCTTCTTTAGTAAGTCAACTTCTATCCCTAGTTTGTCAAGTGTTTTAAGCATGAAAGTATATTGTATTTGGTCAAATGCTTTTTCTGCATCAATTGATATGACCATGTGTTTTTTTATATTTTCTTCTACTGATATAGTATATTATAATATGTGATTTTTAATATTAAGATAACCTTGCATTCCTGTGATAAATCTTACTTGCTCAGAGTGCATAATTCTCTCTGTATATGGCTAAATTCATTTTGCTGGGGGTTTTTTTTTTGAGAATTTTTATATCTAGATCCATAAAAAATATTCATCTTTATTTTTTTTTTATGATACCTTGTCTGGTTTGGGTATCAAGGTAACACTGACCATGCAGAATGAGTTGGGAAGTGTTCCCCCCTCTTCTCTGTTTTGGAAGAGTTTGTGAAGAATGTTATCAATTTTTCTTTAAATACATGGTAGATCTTACCAGTTAAGCTATCTGGACCTAGGTCCAGATAAACTTTGTGCTTGTTTATTTTTTTATTACTAATCCAATCTCTTATTATTCATATTGTCCATTTTTTAAAGTGAGTTCCAATAGTTTGTGTCTTTCTATTAGTAGATTCTTGCTCTTCTTGCTGTGCTAATGTTCATCAGTGAACAAATGCTAGTATTTCAGACCAGTTGAGCTTTAGGTTTTTTTATGTTCCATAATTTATTGAATAAAACACATGAGTAAAAATCATTAATTTGAAGTTATAATGAGGAGGAATAAACTTAACATGTAGTCTAAAGTGGGTTGGATGTGAGTTTGATTTCCTACTCTCTAACTCAAGAATTAACAGCTGAGATGTATTTATTACTAAAAAGATATTTTGGATATTTTATTGTCATTTGTGAGAGGTAGATTGGAGTATTTCTAAGGTTCTTATGTAAAAATTCTATTATTTTGTGAAATGAAAGTTAGCATGAAAGAAATGTGAGGTAAAGGGAATATAATGTGAGAGCCATAAACACAATAAATAATTTGGAACAAAAAAGAAACCTAGATAAATATAAACTGATGAAAAATTGAGGTACAAATTAAGTAATAAGATTCATGTTCTTAGGATACAAAATCATTTATTTTAGATGACTGTTCTATTTGAAACAAAGTTACTTCAAAATAAAACTAAAATTCCACTATCCTTCCTTTCTTAAAATAGTTATACATATATCTGCACATGGGCACTTAGATAACACTACTTCTGAATTAAATATAAATGTATTAACATGAATAATTCTTAAGAATAATCAAGTAAAAATGAAGCAAGTCAAATATGATACATGTACTTGACTTACATTTATATAAATTAATACACAAAAATGTACTATAAAATGAGGATTATAATTAGACAAAATTCAAATTATAGTTATATGTAGAGAAGAAGGGTGGGAGGAAGAAATGGAGCAGAGGTATGCAATGAGCTCAAACTAGATCTACAATTTTCTTTTTAAAAATATGTGAAACAAAAATGACCATGTTTTGATATTTAATAAATTTGAATACAACTATTGTGTACTTTTGTTATATTTCTTGTAGCCATTTGTATACCTGAACTAATTCATCAAGTTACAAAGAAAAGTTATCTGAGTTGCTGGTCAGGTACCTCAGTTAGTTAGCATGTTGTCCCATATGCAAGGTTGCAGGTTTAATACCCAGTCAGGGCACATAAAAGAAGCAACCAGTGAAGGCATAAATAAGTGGAACAACAAATCAATGTTTCTCTTTCTCTCTCTCGCCTTTCTCCTCTCTCTAAAATCAATAAAAAAAGAAAGAAAAAGAAAAATTATCTGAGTATCTGAATTTTATATAAAACATTTCAAAAGTTTTAAAGTATAAAGAAAATATCTAAACCTCACAAAAATAAATATTTATTTCTCACTTATTTGCTTATAATTTTTATTAGGGGATACTCATAATACTCACCATTTGATGCTGTAAAGTCAATAGCCACTGTGAAATTGATTTGTGTTCTAGAATACAAGTAAATAAAAATCATTAATAATTAAATAATTCCCAAAAAGTTTGATTTCCATTTTTGTTATGTTATTAACATAATTAATTTTTGTAAATATTACCACTGGCAACTATGTCACAGTACACATCGGAAAACAACAGATAGGCAGTTTTCAAAGGCAAGAACTTTGTAAAATACAATCATATACCTGTAAAATAAAACATAAGCCATCAGCAATCAAAACTGCTCCTGTTTGGGAGCATGACAATTAAGTAAGGTGATCATAATGACAAAGTCAAACTGCTAATAATGATTTGTTAGTCTCCAATGTCAGCATTCATTCTTACTTTGCTTTCAAAACTATCCTATCATCCATGTGAAATTATTATGTCCTTAAAAGTGTGACATAGCTAAAATCATCTCTAGTAATGTCAGTTTTTGAACTAATTTTTCCTAACAATCTTTTTTTTTAAAGATTTTATTTATTTATTTTTAGAGAGGGAAGGGAGGGAGATAGAGAGAGAGAGAAAGAGAGAGAGAGAGAGACATCAATGTGCGGTTGCTGGGGGTTCTGGCCTGCAACCCAGGCATGTACCCTGGCTGGGAATCGAACCTGGGACACTTTGGTTCCCAGCCCGCGCTCAATCCACTGAGCTACGCCAGCCAGGGCCCTAACAATCTTAAGACACATGAATTTCTCCTCCTGTACTCGAAAGAGAAGTATTTCAGCTGATCTATCTCATGGTGGTTACTGCATTCCTGTGTGTATGTGTATTTATAGATATAGATAAATATTTGTATAGATAAAATTGGTTACATATACTTGCAGCACATATAGTTAACCTAAAATGATTTTTCTGGGTTATATTTTTTCTTTTTGTTTTCTGGCAGAAACCAAAGTGGTGGCATTCACGTAAAAGCTTCACTCTTTTGGATATACCTCTGACTCTTGCTATATGTAACTCAGCCTCTTTCTTACCAAGTAAGGAATCAAAACATGAATATGTGCCAATGATTCCATTATTGGGATAACCTGCAATCAAATCTGATTTTAAAGCTATTTTTTATTTAAAATTTAAACAAACAAAACAAAAATATCATTTGAAAACAGGAGTACTTCAACTATTTTTAGTAACAAATTCTTTTGACACATTGCACAATTGATGTACTATTTCAAGTTTGAAACTGTTGTTTAAATGATGGTAATGGTGGTGGTGATGATGATGATGATGATTAGCTATTACAACAGAGGATCCTTTGTAGTTTTCCTAGTATTAACTATGGTAATATTGCTTTCTGTCTTTAAAAATTGAGCCTGAAAAACCCTAAATACTATTCAGGTATTGAAACAAACTCATTTTTTTCTAAGGAATGGATTTTTCATGCCTTACATTTAATAAAAAACTAATATAGATTCTCTTTATAACTATATGGTAGTTTTTCCTTAGAATAGAAATTAGGTTTATAGGCTAAGAATATAGGTTAATTTGGGACATACACTAACCAGTATGAACAAAAATGAGTTAAACATTTTTAGAATAAAGGATATAGGGGTACATTCAGAAGAACATTTTGAGGTAACAAATCCCTTCGAGGATCTGAAAGGATTGTCACCATCAGCACACTGCTTTGTCATTCTGCTGATAGGGACAGAAGTGACTGTAATACAGGGAAGTGTGGTGTGTTAGAAAGGGATAGCTTTTGAGTCTGAAAACAAAAACCAGGTTTGAGTTCCAACCACCCAGTTACTGACATTAGCCTAGTTTTAAAGGGAAGGCATCTGGCACACAATAATTAAGCAAGGACTGACAGAAAAAAAAAACTACATGAAACATTATATCTATCTACTTACATGTATATATAATATACATTATATATAATGTGTTTTACATAGTTTATGTCAATTAACCTCACAATAAATGTTAAAAGAAGGTACTGCTAATCTTTTACAGACAAGGAAATACATGCTCACGAAATTTAATAACTTTCCACTTGAGTAATAAACACCAGTATTAGAATTTGAATTTCTATCTAACCTCAAAGACTATATTCATAAACTCTATACTACTCTATTTCTACAATTAAACATCTGTGAACTGCCTGGCTACAATAAGAACACAATAAAAGATAGTGATTATTATTTTACAAACCTAAAAATGATACTACATAGGTATTATTAATGATAAAGATGTCAGGGTATATTCCCATGTTTGGACACATTTGTGCTATTAAGTATGTTATCAAATACATCAATCACAAAATTATTGGTATAAATGCTTGTGTTATTTTATTCAAATAACACCTCTTTAGGAATGAAAAATAACTCCAAGCTTCAAGAACACATTTCAGCAATTTTAAAGGTCAATTTAGGAGTTGAGTCTTTGGGTCAATCTCCCTTAGGCTGTAGGGAGAGACACCTTGTCTTGATTCAATTCTCTTTTATAACAGTGTGTGCACAGTGCTTTTCACACACTGGAATGCACACCTGGTGGCTGGTTGATTTTAAGATTTGATTAGTTTTTGCCCCATTCTGCATGTCAGAAAGAATCTCACTGCTTTACTGTTCTGAATCAGTAGTATTCAAATCAGAAGGAAAATATGATGGCTCATTCCATATCATGGTTGTGATGGTGCCTTAACCTATTATTATACCATTTGAATTTTTCATTAAAAAAACTACGATTCAACAATTATTTATTGAGCATCTTCCAATTGTTAAGTATTGCATTTAGATGACAAAGAGAAAACAGAAGCAAACCAAACCATTCTTGAACTTACAGAGCTTACAACTCCAGGTTCCTACTATTAAAAACAAAAACGAAAACAGCACAAGTGTTCGTAATTGAATTCATATTCAAAAGCACAACTGAAAACTCAACTGTGCATTTACTGGGCAACAGCTTGTTTATTCCCAGAATTTCTAAGGTTCTGCCATTCAAATTATAGTGTATACTTACCGTACTAAGTGTTTTTTGAAAAAAATTTGTAAAAGTTATTTTTTTAAGTTGCTAGCAAAATAATAACTTTAGGCAATAAGGCAGATTTCTTAAAGACTTTGATAAGTTATTTGTGTCATAAAACTAAGCCAGATGAAGCATCTTTTCATTAATCTTGTTACCCTTTTTCATTCTTGAATATTGCTTAAAGCTTAATGTTAGAGAAAAAGAAATCAGTCATGCCTCAAAGTAAAACATCAAATTTACATCAGGAGATGACTGATAGAATATTTATAAAACTATCATATGTAAGTCCTCAAAATATTTTGCTTAGGAAATATTACTGTAGCTGTCACTTTGGCATTTTATGTTCTACTATTTCTATATTTATGTTATATTCTAGAGTATAAAAAAAGCATGCCTGCCACATTTCATGAGTTGGTAGTAACATCTCACGAGCTTTCCCAATTCATACGTCCTAGTAGCACTAAAATATACTCTCAGAAAATGTCCTTATTTTACCCTGCCACCTTTCCAAAAGCTGTGAATGACAGACACAGCAGATGTCAAGATGGAAAATTTAACTACTAAAGCAAAGAACCACAGCAAACAAGTAGATATGTGCACATCAAAGAAAACAGTACATATGTATGCACTCCCACACACATCACACACACAGAGTTAAGACCATTTTAACTGGCCGCAACAGTGATATTGTCTGCAACTATTATTACAAGTTCATTCTCGAGAACTAACCATTGTGATGGGAGTGTACAGGAGGACTGCATTTCTTTCTTCCCAATTTCAAATTCTGTTCAGTTGCATTAACTTAAGGTTATCAATGTGAAAGCTGAACCTCTCCCCATCCTTCTTTAAGTTAATCTTGACAAATGCAGATTTAGATCCACAAACTGCTGGAATCAAGAATCGATAAATGCAGTTCAGATGCCCACCCACTCTTAATACAGTATTCCCTCCATTAGTGTCATGCTGCCACCACGGCCAAGCTATTGCCTTGATTTACTGGATGTGCAATCTGGTTCCTACCTCGGTTCTAGAACCCACCCTGAACCCATTCTCTGGCATCTGGCACTATCATCCAGACTAATGCTTCATAACCCTTGCTCGCCATGGGCTAAACCTTGAATCCTTTTCTGTCTTACCTTTTCTTTCTCTCTTAAAAGTAGTTCACCTTTTTTGCTGGATCTTTTCACAATTCCTGCTTCCCATACCCCTAAACTATTCACAGGATCCATTACACCCTTGACAACTGAGATCTACTAGAATGAAGGCAGGCTTTGAGATGCAAATTCAAATATAAATATTTTCACTTACCTGAAATGTGATCTTGGGAAAGCTTTTTAATCTATTTGCACTTCACTTGTAAAAACTTAAGGGCAATAAAACTTTCCTTGAATTGTTGTGGGGACAAGAAAAGCATTTCTCCTTTAGCAGATACTCCCTAAGTAGCTGTTACAGTTTTTACCACCATTATTGAGGCTAGTTTTGCAGGACTTGACTTTAGAGTACTTCTTTGAAACCTGGAGCATTCCATGCTTATTAAATTTCGGGATCCACCAGAGACCTTCAGGATATTCTTAGAACCTGAGCCTCCCATGTCAGATTTCCTTTTCTTCACACCAGCTGCTGAGGTGAAAACATGCCCCACTTCAAACTGCACTGTGAGTAATCCCCAACCTCTTAGAAGCTGTTACCTAGGTACTTCCTCAAACAAAATCCCTCTGTATTAAGTAATTTTAAGCTTTGACCCCTGTCTTATTTTCCTTTCTATCCCTCTATACATTCTGGATTTCTGAGGGATCAGTGAAATGTCAAAAGGAAGAATAAAAAGAAACTGGAGACAAGTGATGTGATTCTTCAACTATTTACACTAGTAATCTTGGTCCTTGCTAACCCTAATTGTCACAAATTGAAAAACCTTTCAGCATTCTCCAGACTTTGAAGATTCACTTGTTTTTGGTTTTTAAAAACAGAGTAAGAGTGTTCCAAAGTACAACTTCCCAAGGTCTTGCAGTTCAGGAACTCAAGGAAGGTATGCAAGATGTCCAACTTTTTTTTC